AAGTTATAATATAGTTTTGACACCTTAATACCTTATTATAGTCTTTAAACTTATTTAGAGACATCTGTAAGACAATAAAAGGTTTTTTTGAGTTAACTTTTAGTAAAGATCTAACAAATGACAATGGTGACCAAATATCTATTTTTTTTTATATATGTTTCGTAATCTGTGAATATGCATTATCCACTTCTTGGATGCACGAGTGGCCTGGAACTGAAAACTTCATTGTAACAGATTTTGTTCTGAGATTTTTCAACATAAACGTCATAAACCCAATAATGACATTATCTTACTCCAGTTTTGTGGCACACAGCTATCAGACCATGTAACAATGTTTAGTATACCCAAATTATTATCAACAATATGTTGTAATATGTAAATAAACACACTTGCAAGGTCATTTCCCGATCTACCAATAATTGTTTCATCAAGAAGACAAATGTTCTGTAAAGTTTTAAACATATAATTTTTTTTTATAAAACGCTGGGCCGACATTTGTTTTTGGAAGTGTGATAAAATTTTGTAATACAAAACAAACAACTACATTTTCTTGATCACATTTATTTTTGTCTTCATCTCTTTCCATTCTCGTAGTATCTTTTTTAAGCATGTGTTCTTCATACTGACATTGTACATTACTTGATACTTTAAATTCCTCACATTTAGCACATAAATCATTTTTAGGAGGGAAAAATCCATACTTTAAATTACAATTAAACAACGATCTATTCAGGTGAGCTTTTACCGACGTTCTAGGGCTCTAATCTATAAAGCGTTTATTTGTATATAGATTGTACATTTTTGTTATGTCCAACTAAATATTGCTTTTTTGTATCAAGTCGACAATAATGTGATTCAACAGTAGAGAAACTAGATATATGATCTATGGCATATTGTTTGTCCTCTGCTTTAATATGACAAGTTGTATTCTTGCCTCGCTTTTTATTAGGTGGAGTTAATGATAGTGGGTTCATTGATGAATGACAGTTATAAATAACCTTTGGCTAATACATAATAAGTTTAAGAATAATTTTTTGCAGACTCTAATCAATATTTTATCAGTTTTGTAGAAATTATACTGGTAACATTTTGTCCTTTGATTTATTTTTACTTTTTGAAGTAATTAAGGATTTATAATTAAATATAAACAAAATGTTATCATTTCTGCTGACACTGTGGTAGATACATGTTCAAGTCCTTTTTCAGTCAAATCATTATTTATTGATTGTTTCCAATTTTTGGGATTTCTTTGTTTTTTTCTGGTAAACTTTTTGGTGCCTTTTCTGAATGTGATTCTTCACATGATGATTATTCAACTAATCTAAAACATGACAAATTATTTTAATTTTGTTATTAAATTATATTTTGGTGTATTTACTATCTTATAATTAATTACTAAAAGACATAGATTTTTAAATGTAATTTGGGTATTCTTAGGTATAGGCATGCACTCTGTGCAACATGTTTGCATTTATGCAATACACTTTTAGTCTATTTCCATAAGGTAATATAAAAATTAATAAAATAGTAAAACATAGTACAATATTATAACATAATAATATAATATACAAAAATAAATTGTTCAGTGAAAATTAGTATTATATATTTAGTACATTTAATGTATAAACATAAAACATTAAGGTATTTCTAGTTCCTACTCCGTTATTAATTTGTTATTAATACATGCAGGCTTTCAATAATTATATATTTATCTGATACTAATATTAAGAAATGTTTTTATTTTGTGTAGGTATCTCATATTGTCATTATCATATTGAAGTATACAACTCATAAAAACATAACAAAAACACAAAATACATGATTTTATAGCAAAAATTATAGCTAGGCACTGGTAGAATTATTTTAGCTTAAATTGGAACTATGTTTAATTAAAATAAATTATTACTGTAGTGTAACATTACCTTGACATGTTTGTTGAATTTTCATCAATTAAACCATAAGAGATGTGAGTATGTACTTTCCGAGGTGACTTTTAGAGTCCATCCGATCTTGTAACTTATCAATACTTGAAATATAATTTTGTGAATCTCTAGAGTCTTGAAGTAAATTAGGAATACAAAAACAAAACAATTTTTAAGCATAGTTTAACTATTTAAAAATTAATACAAGCCAAAAAAGGTGCTCTGCTGTACAGTAGGTTACAAGTGGGTCACTGTATAATCGATGGTATTAAATTTGAATTCAATGATATAATATCATTGTATAAGAAAAACGATTCTGAGCGGAGACGGTATGTCAGTCTAGGTTTAAGACATATAAACATATCTATGGTATTTTAAAAAATATTGACCTATAATAAATTAAAAATTAATCATATCACAATATCCAATAGGCAATAAGTACTTATAATCCGTTATACATCAACAAAAAACCGTGATACTATCATAGATACATAATAGTACACTTTAGAAGTTTCAAGTAGGTACCCACAAATAATATTATTCAATCACAACAAAATAACTAAAATAGTTATTCTAGGTTTTTTAATATGTAATTTCGTCCAAATTTGAATTTTAAATGTCTGTAAAAAATAACTGTGTTCATATATTTTTTAGATTTTTTGGTTATAGAATGAACTATTTACGAGAACCTTTGTGTTGAATTTGCAATCCTTAGCTATAAAAACTGAACATTTTATAATTTATTAATTACAATGATTGATAATTTTCGAGATTTTGATAAATTTTGTCAAAATTTGATCTTTAAATGCTTATAAAAAAAAACTGTGCCTATGTATTTTTAATATTTTTCAACTGATATTGTAACAATATATCAGGAGCTTTGCATTAAATTTTTACACTTTTTGGCCCAACAGATAAAACTTTATTGATATTTATAGAAAAAAAAACTAAAAAAAATTGAAAGCTGTAAATGTCCATGAACAGCTCAAAAAGAGTCAAAATATTTTCAAACTTGTATGGTGTATAGGAAATGCTAATATAAACATTCAGTGAAATTTTCATGTATCTACAGTTATTCGTTTTTGAATTACAACAAAATAAGGAAATCGCTACATGAGAAATCGAGTGAACATACAATGTTGTAAAAATTTGAATTTCAAACGCTCATAAAAATTTAATTTGACTTTCCGGTAGAGATTTTTTTATTGATAAAGGTATATAATCTTATAAGGAATCTTGTGTTTCATTTTCAAATCTTAGATTTAAAAAGAAAAATTTTTACGAATTCTTAACTCAAAATAATTTGCTAATTTTCGTGATTTTTCCATATTTTGTCAATTTTTGAACTTTAAATGCTTATAAAAAAAAATTGTGACTAAGGATTTTTAATATTTTTCATCTGCCTTTGAAACAACATATTAGGAGCCTTCTATTAAATTTTCAAGCTTTCGCAACCAACAAATAAAATGTTATTGATATTTTTAGAAAAAAAACTAAAAAAAAATGGAAAATGAAAATGTCCCTAAACAGTTCAAAATAAATCAAAATATTTTGAAAATGTTATCGTGTATAGAAAATGCAAATATTAACAACCAGTGAAAATTTCATGTATACACGTTCATTTGTTTTAGAGTTACACCAATAACCAAAATCGATTTTTTGGAAAACCAATTTTGCGTAAAAATTCCCGTTTTTCCTTAATTTTTATGTTGTTTTTCCCGGCGCTTGTGAAAACTACTGGGAAATGTTTACTTTTGACCCCCCAAAGTACCAACTAGATTCACTTTCCTATCAGAAAAGGTACTATTGAAGCAAATCGAAGCACTTTTACTGTCCTAAAACGTGATGACAGACACAAAAATATAAAAATATAAAAATATAAAAACATACATCATTGTAAAACCAATACATTCATCGCTCCGCTCAGAATCTAAAAAAAAAAACACACATCATTGTAAAACCAATACATTCATCGCTCCGCTCAGAATCTAAAATATCATTCCGTATTTTCGTCAATTTTTTAATCGCTAAAAAGGCGCATTTTCCTAGGTTTGCCAGGGGCGCTAACGAGTCTTTCTACGCCACTGGTACTTTACATACTACATAGGTCATAGACACGCATAGTCTATCGTTTTTTTCGTTTACTTCTATTTATCCAAGTGTTTAAACAACATCCATTTTAGAATAACGCTTGTATAAATCTCATTATTCATGGCTATATGATTTATTAGATCGGGCAGGTGGTTGTTGTCGCTTGTTCGCGATAAATATAAAATCCTCCCGGTAGGGTTTATGTTGTTAGACATTTTAATGGACACCTTCGACACCTATAAAAAATAGGTAGTCATTTCGACCTAATTGTTTGATCCATGATTATTTTACATATGTATTTACCTGACTCTTCATACTTCGTTATTTTTGTAGATATCCATGCAGCAACTATATAGGTACTGCAAATTTGTAGCCTTGTAGTTATAATTATTTATTATTTGCATATAGTATAAGTGTGCTCACGAGAGACGTTGGGGGGGGGGTGCATATCCCCCCCTTTAGGTTTATTTTGTCTGTCGATTTTTGATTATTTATTGTCAATATAAAATGTCATGTTTTCAATACCTAATGTTTTTCCGAGTGATTTTTTAATATTTCATTATATAATAAGTAAAGTTACCGCCAAAATATTCACGAAAATAACCTCAAATACTGATCAGGGTTACCATCACATTACAAATATATAAACATCTGCGGCACTGTTTGGCGTAGCGCCGTATGCTTACAACTGCTTACAACTTGCTGACTTCTGAGTTCTGAGTGTTTAATAGTCAATACTGAATATTATACATTTTATCCCTGTCGAGTAACGTTTGTGAAATTAATAATTATAAATTGAATGTAATTTGTAGTAGTTTTCGGGTCATAATTATTTTGTTAGATAATGTTCTTATGTATTTGTGTTAGTCAGGCGTAAATTGATTAGGCGAAACTATACCTACACCTGCAATTGTTAAGTGTATTTTATTATGTGTATCATTGATTTCTAGAAAATTATTGAAGTTCAGTTATTAAAATTAAAATACAATGGGTAAAAAACCTCCAAAAATGAAGAGCATTACCAAAAGCAAGACGAAGGCTCACAAGCAGAAGGTAAAATCTCATAAGAAAAGCAAGAACATTTCAAAACAAAAGTATCGAACAAAACAACGGTCAGAGAGTCAAGACAAATTAAAAAAACCGGAGGCACCTCTTACTGACTATTTGACGCACAAGTCAAATTACATTGCTGTCCGATTTATATTTGAATGCGGTATGCTTAAAAATTATAAATCTACATATTTTGAACTATCTATGGAGTGTCTTATTTATATTTTATGAATATAGGTATTAAACTGGGTCTTAAACATATAACTATATGCTCAGCAGCAGTTTACTTCCATAAGTTTTATAAACACGTTGATGAAACCTCTTATGACAATTATGTAAGTACTCATTTTTAATCTGTCAATATTTTTCTATATTAATTATACCTTTATTTTAACTGATTACAATACACTATACACCTATACTCTGTCTCAAAAGAGAACAATCAGTTTTCCGACTGATTTTTATCAGTGCTTTGCATTAATTACCTACCCGGTGTTAGCATGATTACGCCATTCTCGACACCACACACCAAATGCATCATTCACTATCTGCGAAAAGTGATTGTTCTCTTTTGAAACGGATTTATAATTATATAAAGTAGGTTTAGCTTTATCATTATTCCTAACTACTTATTATTGAATTTGAATCGTTTTAATAGTCAATAAACTAAATTACACATTTGTATGGTTAGATTAATACATGTTATTGAACTTTTAGAAATCAGTTCACTACCTATTTATTTTAATATTTTGAAGAAGGAGTTTTAAATCAAAATCAGATTCTTAATTACATTTAAAACAAATCCTAACTTTTACATTTCTAATAAATTAATAACTAGGTAATGAGTAATGATTAAAATATTTCCCCAAAAGTTTAGGTAGGGAGTACACTTAAATTAGAGAAGTATTATTTTGTGCGGTTAAAAGTTTTAATAAACATTTAAATTATATTTTTTCTGTTTCACTTTGGATTGCATAGTTTCATTCAAATTATTGATCTGTATTGGGTTTTAGAAATACTTAAATAAAGTATAAATATTGATTGTTCAAATTATTTATTTTATATTTCATATTTTTATTTGTTTTACAATTTACAGATTATTATAGTTAATAGAAAATAACCACATTATGATTTATAAGTTATAATTTACTGTTGGTGTATAATTCAATTATTATAAAATATAATAATTTGATGAAAACTTATTGCCTTTAGGAATTAGGTTAATCAACTATAATTTAAGAGTGTAAGCAAATGTAACTGATTATCATTTCAAATATTAATCAAGTTACATTTTTTCATACATAATATTTATATACTAGTAAACTATCAATAATTTCTAGTGTTTTTTTTATTGTATGTTATATAGTTTTATAATACTTGTTTCATACAACAATGAGAAATGGTTGTCTAGGAAACAAATAGTACATAACATAATTTTATGACAAACGAGACACCTTTTTTATTTGAAATCAATAACCAATAAGTACCAAGTATAGAATTTCACTTTATTAACAATGAGATGAATAATTGATCAGTCATTTAAGTGTATATATAATTATATATTATAAAAATACAGATATTAACCATATAATAATATAATATGTACAGTTATAGAAAATATGTAAAATATAAAAATAATTATTTATTAAATTTACAGTATTAACAAACATTATGAATTGTGTGCCGAATATTGGCCTTAGATCATATAGTATGCATGGAGCCTCAGTGTATTAAATCAATAAAAAAAATTGTTGCCGATATCAGCGAATAGTCACCGAATTAGGTGTTCAACATGTGCATGCGCAACACGACTTCTCGCATATTTAGCCACAGATAGTTTGTTATCAAATCACCATATTATGTTATTGAATATACTGTTATATTAAAATAGTATAATACCTACTATAATAATATAATAACATAATTAACCGCAAATTAAGATTGTGAGATTATGAGTAATTCTGTGATAGTAACCTATGGATAATTAAACAAGGAGTTTCATCGCGCATGCGCACATCTATTACATAATTTGGAGACTCGTTGCTAATATTGGGAACAGAATAATATGCTGTTTCTACATCCATAGTATATGATTTAAGATATTGGCACTGGCTTAAAAAATATAAATATATAGTCGGCATATGAATGAACAAGTTACTACATTATTTAAAATGTATTAAGTATAAATGACCACTGGTATGAGTTAAGTGTTAATAGACTAAATATATAAATAAGCTCCTATTAAAACAAATACACTTATTTTACTATATTACAATTATTCATACTAAAAATAAAAAATCTAAACATGGAGTGTATTGTAATAGTTTTTAAAATTTATTATATCATTAATCAATGCGAATATGATGGCATTTTTTAGTAGGCTTTGCATTTTGTACATGAATGATAGTTTGTATTTATTTTACAGATTTTTTTATATTTATACATAAAAAAAATTAGAAATAAAAAATTTGTATACCTATAATCTGACCTTGTTGTATAACGGGTTTTTTGGTTTTACGCAGAATAGTATACAAAATATTTATAAGAGTAAAAAAGTTTGTTTCCATCTGCATTATCACACTTATTGAACTGCATAAAATTATTGTTACGACACTGTGTATGATTTGAGGCACCAAACGTAAGTGGAATTACTAATAATACTGATAACTATTGGTGGTATTAATAATATTTTCAGCATTCTTATTTCATGTAAGTATATCTCATGTTAAAACATGGCATTATAACATTTTATTTTGTCAGGTTACAATATATTTTTAACTGGGTCATTAATTAATTTACTTATTATCGAATAGAAGGTTAAGGATTTAATATGAAATTGAAAACAAGTGTCTATAAGAAAACCTAATTTGGACTGCTACTAATTGTTTAGGAATATTTACATTTTGGTTGTAATTACATCAAATAATTATTTTGCTTAAAAGTTGTTTGTATTGTATGTATCAAAACCCAAACTTTAAAAGTAAAACTAATGTTTATTTTTACATCTAATGTATTTGTGTGTCTATTAACATGTAATAAATGATAATATGATAAGTAAATGACATGTGACAATGTGCTCCCACCAAAATGACGTGATTTTTACGTTATATAATTCTCATTTCTATTACCATTTGGCATTTTTATATGCTTGTTGCTGTGAACTTAATTAATTTTTTAGATCATATCAAAGGATCTATCATGCAAAAATATTGGGTTCATCAGTTTTGGTGCAAAAATAGTAATAATTGTCGCATTAAATACCCATCAAGACCGAGTACAACTATTCTTCAAAAAATATAACTGTATATTTACCAGTTGTATTAATTTTGTAATAAATATACACTAAATACTACAGTTTTACAAATGTGTTTAAGGTGAAACTTTGTCTAGCACTAGAAATGACAAAAAGTAGTAAACATGGTACTATTCTTGGTGACAAATAACATAACATAAATAACACATGATCCTGTCATCCCAAATCAGTGGGCACAATAATGTGATTGTCAGTATAATTATAAATAGAAATAATAAATATTAGATCACGTCTATGTCTTAAAACTCCCCAACCTGTTAATATTGTTATACTAATATATATTATAAATATTGTCTTACTGTGATTAAAAAGGAATATCTGTTTTTACAGTCTATAGCTAGTGCAACTTTATACTTGGCTAGTAAAGTTCAAGATGAAACCATCAGACTTCGAGATTTGATAAATGTGTGTTACCACACATTACACAGGGATGCAGCTCCATTGCGCTTAGCTGAAGATTATTGGAACTTCCGGGATTCCATTGTGCACGCTGAAATGTTAATCATGAGAATAGTACAATTTGACACAACTTTCGATCATCCACATAATGTAATTAAACTTTTATACTAAACAACAACCACATGAAAAACTTATTGTAAATAGCCGCATGATTAGATGGCCACCGGCTGTGTTGTGGATACATTTGTTGCTACTTTGATCCATGTGAAGTTTTAGGAAATATTTGTTTTTATGGCTATTTGAAAATATGAAATATTTTAAACTATGACTCCTGTACATTAATTTATTACTTTTAAAATGATGCATTCATACATATTACAAGTGCAAAATTGTAGATATTATTAATGTGTAAATAATTAAAATTAAGCAGGGGTTATAATATAGGTGTTTGTTAACAACCTTATATTAGATATTTTAGTGATTATATGTTCTGTGCTATCTGGTATATTCATTTATGAAAATATATAGTTTGTCCACTGTATTGATGGAGATAATAAATTATTACATTTAGTTATTTACACATTTTAACATTCATAATACAATTTAGAAAAAGTGTACATAATATGGAAGAATGCATAATTTTCAAAACATTTGTATATTTCAAAATATTGCATACATTTTCTTAAAAACTTATAAAACATGAATAATCCTTACACGACGCGGGTTAAAGTAGGAGCTAATATAATCATTACCTAGCTTGATTTCCGTTTCATTTTAACTCTCTAACTCTTGATCTCCTTATTTTAGCTTCCATAGTTTTGTGATATCTAACAGTGTTTTATTATCTTTACAGTATTTTTTGCACTACGTTCAGACTCTAAGACCAGTTTTCTATTCAAAACATGGCAAGGACATCATTGTATTTAAGAAAGCATATGATTTCTTACACGTATGTTTAATTTCATTTTACACATTTATCATAATATACATATCCAATTTTGCTATTATGTATTGATTTAATAAGTAAAAATATAATTTTTTTTTCAGGATTTTTATCATAGTAGTGATATTCTTCAGTTTAAGGCACAGCACATTGCAATTGCTTGTATTGAACTAGCGATCAAAGTTTATGGCATTCCTTCTCAAATAATTGATTATGAAATTAAACCTTGGCATCAGGTATGTTTCTACATTTTGCTGCTTTGTTGGTATTTAATCGCTCATTTCAAAAAAATGTTGTTGAATTAGTTTTGAAATTTTTTTCGTTTTAGCAATTATTTGCCAAAAAACGTTATTATATTGTCTACAAAATATGAGCAAAAATTAAATGTATGAAAGATCATTGGAATTTGAGAACAATTTAATTGCTGTATATTTTAGCTGATTTTTAAAAGGATACCAATCATTTTGAAGTGATATGTCTCTTCTGTTTCAACATAGCAGGGCTGTTGATATTTAGTCATATTGTAATATTATTCAGGGTCATATAATATAAGGAAATTTGGTTCATTTTATTTGAAAAATAATTTGTTCATATTTAGGACGTCTTAGGATATTGCTTAAAAATATTTTATTATCCTTGAACGTTCTAAAAGTAAAAATTTTAAAGTTTGATAGTAATAAGAAAGTATCGTTTTAAGTATATTAAAAAAATACAAGATGTGAGATTCACATATTTACTATCTTACTATAAAACTTAACTCACTCATATTTTTTTTATTAATATTAAATGTTGAATAAATAGAATTCTTGATATGAAACATGCTGTGAATCATCAAAACTAAATCAATAATTTAAATTTTTTTCAAGGCATTGGTTGAAGATTTGGACAAGGATACACTTTGGAATGTTATGGCAGCGATCATGGACACATACGATCTCGAGTTAACTACCAACTAAATGCAATACTATTCCTTTTAATTTGTGTTTGTATTTTGTTTAAATTTTATTAATAATAATTCTTATAAAAAGAAAAAATAAATAATTATAAAAAAAAATCCGATGTAACAGTTTTTTTTGTATCCCACCATTTTTTTTTAAATTCCTATATACTGTATAACCACATACAAACATTAGAAAACCTAATAAACTTAAATATTTATAAATCATGTGTATTAAATTTCTTCATTTTATTTTAAAATATATATAAAAAAAAAAAAAATGTTTGAATCATTCTTGAATCTTCGAATATACATTAAATCTATTATTTGAGGGAAGGGAAAACAGGCTTAGTTGTACAAGTCGTCGTCACCATCATCTTGGAACGTAGCTTGATCGCCACCAGTTGTTGCATTATTGGCAGCAGGTTGACCTGTCGTTGACGGGAACCTGAAGTTAGTGCCAAATCCACGAGACTGTTGTAATGTCTGTGAAAACATCTCATATTTGCGTATGTCGTTGTCAGTTACAGAACGGCGCGCATATAACATAGCTTCTTCAAAGTGAGCTTTTGTAATTTCGGGGACAGGATCATCCTCAGCTACATCAGTCTAAATATGAAATGAAATATTACAGTACTGTTGTTGCTGAATTAATTTTACAGTATTATTTTACAATTACCTCCATCCCTTGGTTTGAGGCAGCTTCACGCTCACGCCTTATTTCAGCTTCAATACTTTGCCTAATAGCAAGTTTGCAGGCACGTTGACATACTTCAGTCAAGTCAGCACCAGAATAACCATGAGTAACTTTTGCGATGTAATCCAGGTCAACATCCTAATGTATAATATTATATTATATAAAATACAATTTAAATAGTAAAAAAAAAAATTACCTTGGCAACAGGTGATTTCCTCAAATTAGCCTTGAAAATGGCTTCTCGCGATTTTTCATCAGGCAGAGGAATATAGATCAATTGATCTAAACGTCCTGGACGGAGAATAGCAGGATCAATGATATCTATAATAAACAGTAATATTTACTATTTAGTCATATTTTTAAACTGGGAATATTAAAATCAATTACTAATAGCTATAAGCTTACCAGGTCTGTTAGTAGCACCAATAATGAATACATTTTTTTTGGCCCCCATACCATCCATTTCAGTCAAGATCTGGTTGATTACTCTGTCTGCTGCACCACCAGCATCACCAACATTTCCTCCTCTAGATTTAGCAATGGAGTCCAACTCATCGAAAAAGAGTACACACGGAGCTGCAGCTCTTGCCTGTACAAAATTCTCATTAAAAATTGTTTAAGAAAAAAAATTATTAGTGTACTTACCTTATCAAAGATATCACGGACATTAGCTTCTGATTCACCAAACCACATAGTTAAAAGTTCTGGACCCTTTACAGATATAAAGTTAGCTTGGCATTCATTAGCAATGGCTTTAGCTAATAAAGTTTTACCACAACCTGGTGGTCCGTAAAACAAAACACCTCTAGATGGTTGCATACCAAATTTCAAAAACTTGTCAGGGTGCTCAACTGGATACTACACAAATAAAAAAATATATTAACATAGGTATCGATTAAAAAATTATTTTGATACAACATACCTGAACAAGTTCTTGTAATTCACGCTTCACATTAGCCAAGCCTCCAATATCTTCCCATGTAATATTTGGAACTTCAACTATTGTTTCTCTCAACGCACTTGGGCTACTCTTGCTCATGGCATACTAAAAAAGTAATACAAATGTGAATTTTAATTTCAGAAAAATCAATTTAAAGTAAATTAAATTTACCCTAAAGTTTTCCATGGTGACAGCTAACGAATTCAATACTTCAGCATCAATTTGATCATCTTCTAAATCTATCAAGTCCATTTTTTCACGGATTTGTTGTAGGGCAGCTTCAGAACACAGTGAGGCAAGATCAGCACCAACATGACCATGAGTTTCAGCAGCAATCTAATGGTTACATTAAAATTAATTGTTAAGTAAAGAAAATTAAGTATTTATAATTTATATTTTGTTTAATAATTTTTACCTGTTCTAAATCAACTTCCTCAGCAAGTTTCATGTTCTTAGTATGTATACGCAATACCTCTAAACGACCAGTAGCATCTGGAATTCCAATATCAATTTCTCGATCAAAGCGTCCAAAACGCCTTAGAGCTGAATCTATAGAATTTGGGCGGTTAGTTGCAGCCATTACAATGACGTGAGATGATGATTTTAAGCCATCCATGAGTGTTAATAACTGAGATACAATACGACGCTCCACTTCACCATGAGTCTAAATAAACAATTTATAGGTATGTATTTCATTAATGATTGACAAATGTTAAATATTTATAACAAATTACTTTTTCACGCTTGGGTGCAATAGCATCTAATTCATCAATGAAAATAATAGCGGGAGAATTTCTATCTGCCTCTTCAAATGCTTTTCTCAAGTTACTTTCAGATTCACCAGCGAGTTTACTCATAATTTCGGGGCCATTGATTAAGAAAAAGAATGCTCCAGTTTCGTTTGCAACAGCACGGGCAATGAGTGTTTTTCCAGTTCCAGGAGGTCCATATAACAAAATTCCTCTAGGTGGCTTTACACCAATAGCCTTGAATAAACTTGGATGTCTGAGTGGGAGTTCAACCATTTCTTTAATCTGTGCCAATTGTTTGCGGCAACCTCCAATATCATCGTAGCCGACTGTGTTTGATGCTTCTTCTTCCTCCTAAAGATTTAATTGAATTATAAGACGTACGGTAAACCACCAATTATGTATTAAAACTACCTCTCTTTTGATCGGATCCCCTTCACAATGAATAACTGTGTCATATGCAACTATACAATATGGCGATGGATCAGTTTCGACAACTTTGAATTCTACAGCTCTCATGCCTCCACGAACAATGAAATTATCATCTTTATGTATGGGTCTATATGCTTCTAGGAAGTAAGGTTTAAGAAAAACTTCGAACAAATTTCTACAACAAAAATTTGGCTTATTAATAAATATAAATGTAAGAACAAAAGTTCAGTAAATTTTACCCAGTTAATCCTTCAACAGTGTCATCAATTGGAAGCACATGAATACGTTTTCCATACTTTACATCAGGACATTGTTGTATTTGAACAATATCTGATATTCTGACACGTAAATTATTACGCACAACTCTATTCATACGTACTTTTTCATCAGGGCAAGTTTCATCGGATAATACAATACAAACCGATTCTTTACGGCGTTTGCCTTTTAGCAACACAGTATCTCCACGGAAGAGTTGTAATTCATCCATTTTAGCCTTAGATATACAACAAATAAATAATTGATAACAACTTCTAGATTCAAACTAGTAAGATACATTTATGTAGTCAATAGGTGACTTGAATTGAGTTTTATTAATTATTTTTAGATTAAATAATAATTGTTGGTGGGTACCTGAGATAATGCAATGACTGAATTATCATCGTTGATTGCTTCTTCTACAATGAGCCTATTTGGACGATCTTTTTGCTTCAAAATCGCAGTTGCTAACTCCTCACTAAAAATTGATTAAATTATTTAGTATGTTACATCATTATACACTTATTAATTTGACAGTTCAGAAAAGTTAATATTAATGTTAAATATAGTGACTTAACATTTTCTCAGTAATTGTAAAACGAGTTAAAAATGTATAATCCAAATAGGTACCTAATTATTTGTGTACATTGTTTTAATAATAGCAATTTTATAAATCCCAAAATTAGAAAACAAGTGCTAATAATTTCGATAAATGAAGATGAAAAAAAAAAATATTTATATTTTAAAATGATTCTTTACCAATGGGTAGGTAGGTACTTAGCTAAAGGTAACATTTTAATTATATTAAAAGGAGCTATGTATAATTGATGTTATAGTTGTACTGTACTTATTGATTATTGATAAGGTACAATACAATAAAATAAATATAAATATTTAATCAGTTGAAGAAATTACCAATGTTGCATAATGTCTAAATTTAATTGAATAGTAATAAAAGTAGGTACCAAACTATAAGAGTTTACCATGACATGGTAAAAAGACAAAGATGTTTATTTTTAGGTCACCAACAAAAATATGATTCAAAAACAATTTTATTTAGTTATGTAAATATTTCTTTTTTAGTTCAGTGTACTGTCTATAAGTTTTCATAATGCTTTGGTCTCATTAGAACCTAGAACGATAGATTTATGTACAAAACGCCTACGATTTTTTAAAATACTAAACATTTTTTTGGGAGGCGGACATTTAATACAAGTCATGTTTGTACATGTGTGTGTGTGTGTGTGTGTGTGTGTGTGTCAAAGTGGTCGTTGGATGACAAAGTGCCGGTCATCATCCATCGCGCAAACCGTATTTCCGCATAAGCCAGTCGATTTTCCGGTGCGAGGTCCCAATTCCACGGGACACAACCACCATTCCTGAGAATCTTAGTACCGACCACACAGTCACGGTTCGGTGACTGTAAAATAACGATAGGTACACGAAGGTGCGGACAAGAGATTGAATCGGGAGGAGGGTTTTCTCCGAGCGGGACGTTTTCTTTTACTTACCCTTTCGCTGGTTCGGACATGTTTTAAGGTAAGCTGCGGCCTGGTTTTTAAGTTAGTATGGATTTTGGCGACTCGTCCACGTACACGTCTGGTCCTTACGAATAATGTTGAACGAACGAATGAACGATGCGTTCGATGATATTTTCATATACGTGTATCAGACGAGACTACAACCGACGGGTGGGGGGCCACTGGCGAATAATAAAAACGGAAAACGGTGACACAAAAGCGAACAACAATGCTCGTAACTCGTTACGATATGCTTGTGTGAGTGAGACACTGAGACGTTAGTGTGTGTGTGTGTGTGTGTAAATGTGTAGTTCGGTGGTTCGTTGCGGCAGTGGTGGTGGTAGGGACCGGGAAATCAAAAAAGCACAATCATGCCGTGGCCTAAGATGGCGGCCGGTGAGGGAAAAAACGGTCGTACCAACGGCCAACCTCGGTCGGTCGTCGGTTGAACATGTTTCCAAGTGTGGTAATATTGCGAGTTGAAATCCAAGAAATAATAATTTATAGGATATAATCATCTCATAACAATAATTAATGTATACTAAATACGTATTTTATTATTTGTTACAAATTTTTTTTTATAACAAAATCTACGTGTATGCTGGTGCCCCTCCCCCCCCGTTCAACTATACATCAACAGCCGCCGACAATCGGACCACATTATTAAACGCAAATGTCAACACTGTGTCTGTGCCGCCCGCTGATAGTACGCATCAATTAATGTTTACGCTATGATAACGTCTGTGTGATAATCATAGATTTTATTATTGTGAGATTGTCTATTTTCCAAATTATTTTATAATCTATTATGGTTACTAATTAGTAATTAGCTAATATTAAATATTATATTGTGGTTCGTGTACGACGAACGTCGCATTTTATTATTGTTGTTTATTCCTCTTAATTTTATTCTTTTTATTTTTTATAAGTATTTTAATTGTTAGGTATATTCATTATTATATCATTACTATATTTTCAAATACATAATAATATATCTATAATATATCTGTTTTTCGTTGCTCTGTATTTATCTTTGACTAGGTAGTCGCCGTATACATAATATTACATTAACAATATAATAGACAAAAAATGAAACGTGATATATTTAGGAAGTGGCTTTTTCCGCGTCCGACGCGTATTTACCTATTTTCGCGTCCTATGCTGTGATTGGTCCAAATATTGATAATATCTTATCATTTTTATCATCTGATTTTTACCGCCTTAATTTAAATTTCAGATGAATTATTATTTAATATGCACTGGGTGACTTCCCCCTCCCGCTAATCATCCCCATTCCATTTACTTATTGTAATACATTGTAAAATTATTTATAAGATATACATCTTTAACCGGATATATTACTCAGTGGATAATCCCACAGAAAACAAAAATTATTCTCCTATTTTCAAGACAATATAGACATATAGTCTGTTGACTGTTATTTGCTGTCTATTTGAGTGTAACAGTTTGAGTGAAGCGAATCATATTTTAAATTTTTCTTTTGTGAATATAATATTATAATACAATATAGACATTTAGGGCCGGTTGCATAAAGAACAGTCTGTACATTTGTTACCGGCTTTGTAATTTACCGGACCGTAAGGTTTTAATGATAATGATTTAATGTTTTTATTATTATTATTATTTATACCAAGCTAGTATTATCATCAGCATTATTATGACACCACATATTATTTATATGCAATATTTAAAATTAGTTTTTTCCTCTAGGTACTGTACAATACTATCAACTACTTAAAACGAGTATTATAATAATTTAAAACCAATTTAATTAGAAGGGAAGTTAGGTTTTTATTTTCAAAATTATAGGTACCTACATTATTTTTTCTTATGGAGTACAATATCAACAACTGAAAAATGTATTTCCAACAGCACAAACATTATTCTTAACATAACAAACAGTGCCTTTATAAAGCCCGAGCATACCATTTAAATTGTCGAGTAAAAATATTATTTAACAAAATTACTTAGGTTATATTTAATTTATTGGTTATAAAGTAGGTATTACCTAACAAAGAAAATTATATTTTACATTTTTATTAACTTCAATACTCATATTAATATTATTTACTTAACAATTAAGTTAGACCATATATAAGTATCCTATAGGTCAGGTAAGTACTACTTTAAAAATCAAACTGTTAAATATCTAATATTATCCTAAGTACTTATGAAAATGTTTAGTAAACCAGATTATCAAAAACAAACCAGTACTTAAGTACTCAAGTAAGTAATTAAATTGCAAATTTATGAATACTACAAATCAACTAATTTTGAATGAATAACGGAAGATAAAATAAAATGTTTAGATAATCATCTTGTATTCCATTAATACACTTACCTATGTAGGTACTCCGTATTGATTTATCGACACCAAGCCACTAAGGTTTCTAATAAAATTATGTTGCTGTTTTTATAAACAGTTTCTATATAAATTAATAGTAGGTGTTTGTACCCGCCTAAGCCTTAGAATATTATTTACAACCCAGAGGTACATTACGGATAGGGAGGATTAAATATTATGTACAAGCGTTTAGTCACAAAACATCTATTGATTGCACGAGTACCACTGATGAAATTTGATACTATTGTCACAAGCAATATTGCATAATGTGTCGGACTCGGTTTGAACAAAATCACCGTTCGCTGAAATTGTGCGGCCAGAAGGGCAGACATAATACAGTAAAAATAATATAATATAATCAGTCATCGTCAAGTGAGGGTGCTGCCAGCACCAGTAAGTAAAGTTAAGTACTATATAAAAAAAAAAAGCTTTGGAACTTTTCTACTTTACCGGACACCCTTTTTTATGAAAAACGGAAACGGCGGGCACACGTGTGGAGCCGACTGGAGCACGAGGTGGTGGCGGAAGCGGCGGTCGTCACCGCTTCCTGTAGACGGCCCAGGCGTCGGGAAAGCCAAACGCGAACATCGCAGACATATTTTCCCCGCCGTCCGTGTGAAACACGTCTCGCGACCGTCCGCTGTCCAGACCCAACATGGCGCGTCCGGACAGGGGAAAAAAAAAAAAAAACGTAATCACTTACTGTTGAGCGGTCATGTTCACTCTTCGTGCGTTCGGTTCTGGTTGCGAGTTGCAATGGACAGCCGCCGAACAGTGCTAACGACGGAGAGGTAACTCGGTGTACGCGGGAAACGTAAATTTTGCAAACGAATCACCGGCGAAATGAACGGTTCGGCAATTGGAAAATAACAAGTAGCTGCTACACAACTCTATACTCTATTGTCTCTATTACTCTGTACCAAATAAGAAATAAGAATTAAGAGCGGCGAGCGCACCGGGCGGCGCACGAAAACCGGTCGAAACTCGCGCATGTCAGAGAGCGCTGCCGCAGCGTATTCCGGCGCCGGCCAGGTCAACTCTGAATACAGAGTGTTGTATATTATCACACCAATTTTAACGGTATACGCGGTTAGACGTTGTTATATTTTTTGCGCGCATTGGTGAATATTTTGAATGTTTTTAATATTATATTGAGTTCAATACCTATGTTAAGAAAAAAAAAAACGAAAAGTATGTGTATTATTTTACTGATTAATACGCGTGAAAAGCATTATTACTTCAGCTCCCTGTATTCACGGCGGCGTCGACGGCGGCGAATCCGACCGACGATCGGCGACCAATCACAGAGCGAATAGACCCGATCAGGGGGTCCAGACGTCGCTCCGCGATTCATTTGTATGCGCCAACGCGGTGCGCTCTTATTTGGTACAGAGTATGGGCAACCGCGGAATGAAACGAAAATCGTCCGGTTAGTCAATAGTCGGCGCGGTGTGGTACTGTGGTTGGAGAGGGCAGAGTCTTCGGTTAGCAGACCGAAAATTTATTCATGGTAGTGTTTAGGTGAAAAAATCATGCAAAATGAATAATGATAAACACTTATTTTTATAATTCGTCCGCGGGCGACTAATACGTCGTATTCTAAAAAGTTATAATAAATTGAATAAATAAAAAACTAATTGTATAAATCTATGAAAGCGGGAAAAAATAATTTGATAATAATAATATTCTCCAAGGAGATAAGAGATATAAATTGTAAATATTGATATGTCTACTCATATCTACGTCATCTAAATATTTATACACCGGCTTGGTCTACGCATAAACGCATTGAACATTGCTAAGTCCCCTTCTTCAACAAGTTCAACAGCAGATGCTGCAGCTGCTGTAGGGTAGTCCTTTAAATCGTGATGACTATTGACTATCACTATTGTATAATTAAGACAGTCACAGAACATCAGAACAGGACATATAACATTAAACAACGTACCAAAAACCAATAAAAAAGATAACAGTCAACCGATTAATATAAGACAACAAATAATTCAGAAAGTACAAAAATCTATTTTTGGATTTTAGTAAAATTATTAAATTATCGTATTTTTGTGTACGATAGTAAAGGTTTATCGTACATCGTACACAATCATGAAATAATCGTATTTGTGCGATAATTATCGTACGGATGGCAACCCTGGGGCAGACTCGGCAGTGAGTTACGATATCGGTCGATGGAAGAAAAAGCGTTCGTCGCACGCCTTGGAGGAATAAATTGAAGACGAACGCAACCGCGGTTGACAACGTTTTATGATCGACGACTATTATAATTATTAATTATTACTATAACATAAATAATTGTATACTACTTTTAACCTTTTTTAACTTGATTTCGATTTACTTTTTACGAAAAAACATATTATGCGCCTTCGGTCTTATATTCTTAACCGATTAATAAGCCGAATAAACGAACCGGTAACGACAACATATTATTGTATCCAGCTTCACGTGAACAAACACCAATATTTGGTTCAATACAATCCATCGTTTTTTTATTATTTTCACTTGGGACATAAAATTCTTCATCGTCTGCAGTAATCTCTTCTTTGGTGATGTAATCATTTTTCTAAAGGGCCTCGCTACGGTCATTATTTAAGGGGCAACATTTAGGCAATTTCTAATCTTTTCATAGCC